ATGGTTGTGGGGTGGCCGTGGGGTGGCTGGACGGGGTGGCCACGGGTGTGGGGTGGCCGTTGGGTGGTTGGGTGTGGGGCGGCCGTTGGGTGGGTGGCCATGGGTGGCCATGGGTGTGTTGTGGCTGGGTGGGGGGGGGCATGGGGTGGCCGGACGGCGGTGGCCACGGCGCGCTCCCCGGCGGGCAGTTGACTTCCGAGTCCCTTCGGCAGTGACCGACCTGGAGATCAAGTTCCAGTACCGGGGCCGTCAGGTCTGCGTCCTCACCATCAGCAACCCCCACGGCTGCCGCCTCTTCCACAGCAGCCTGGAGCCCACGCAGGAGCAGGTGGAGCTCTTCGGGCCGCTGACGCTGGAGCAGGTCCGCTTCCCCGCCACCGACGCCATCCCCAACGAGAAGCAACGGTTCTACACCCACCAGCTCCTGGACGTGCTGGACCGCGGGCTCATCCTGGAGCTGCAGGGCCAGGACATCTACGCCATCCGCCTCTGCCAGTGCAAGGTCTTCTGGACGGGGCCCTGCGCCGCCCGCCACGCCGGCCCCAACCCCATCGAGAGGGAGAAGAAGACCAAGCTCTTCAGCCTCGAGGGGTTTCTCAACGGTGAGAGGAGGAGGGGGTGGTTGTTCCCTGGGCCCCTTGGGGACACCGGGTGGGATGGAGGGGTCAGCTGGTGTGGGGGGACCAAGGTGGGACCGGGGGGACACCAGGCAGCCCATGGGGACGCAGTGGCGTGGGGGGACACCAGGTGGCACGTGAGGACCTGGTGGCATGGGGGGACATCAGCTGGCATAGGGGGACCAAGATGGGATGGGGGGACATCAGGCAGCCCATGGGGACACGGTGGCATGGGGGACACCAGGTGGCACGTGAGGACCAGGTGGCATGGGGAGAACCAAGATGAGACGGGGGGAGACACTGGGTGGCTCATGGGGACCTGGTGGTGTGCGGGGACCAAGCTGGCGTGGGGGGACACCAGGTGGCTCATGGGGACCCGGTGGCATGGGGGGACATCAGCTGGCATAGGGGGACCAAGACGGGACGGGGGGGACACCAGGTGGCTCATGGGGACCCAGTGGCATGGGGCGAGGCCCCATCCTGCCCCTCACCGCGGCGCCTGGCCCCACAGGCCTCATCCTGTTCCAGAAGGGGCAGACCACCACCCCCCCGCCCTTCGAGATCTTCTTCTGCTTCGGCGAGGAGTGGCCGGACCAGAAGCCCAAGGAGAAAAAACTGATCACGGTGCAGGTGAGGGGACAGGGACGCCGGCGCCCCCGGGTCAGGGCGCTGCCCGCAGCTCCCGGGGGGACGGGGCGGGTGTCCCCGTGCCGGCTGACGCCGCGGTGGCTCTTGCAGGTGGTGCCGGTGGCGGCGCGGCTGCTGCTGGAGATGTTCTGGTGCGAGCTGTCCTGGTCGGCTGACAGCATCCCGCTGCAGATCTCCCACCCCGACCTCAAGGACAAGATGGTGGAGCAGTTCAAGGAGCTTCACCAGCTCTGGCAGCA